TGGGTGTACAAGCTTGACTTATAAATTGTCTAGAGCGCTACTTTCAATAATTATGTGCAAACTTAGTGTTGCTCTTGAGAAACAAACACCAGAAAACCAAGAAAACTTCTGGCCAGGAAAAAGGTGTATTGATCGTGTGTTCACCCTTCAACAGATTCTTGAATATAGACATACTTGCTGGAGTAAAACACCTGCCATATTTTTACCAGAAGGTTGGAATTTTAAAGTATCGACCAAGAGATACTGTGAAAGTGTATATCAAACTAATTAAAGCACTCTACTCGAGCTGATGCAGCCGCATAAGAGCTTACGGGAAGTTGTCATCTAAAGTGATGACATCCAGTGATGTTTGTCACGAATGACCAATGTGCCCATCTTTGTTTAATGTTCTTATAGCTGTGATAATGGAGCTGACCCTAACTGACTTCAGTGACTTGGGAATCGGCTTGTTAATAGGTGGGATCTTCTGAACACCTTGAGCAGAAGCCTTCGAATGCTTGATTAGTTCTTGTCAAATGTAACATGATGCTGCAGAACTGGTCTGTACCGATTTCCAGCTTAAAGAGTGAAGTCAAAGAGCATACTGATCACTTCGCTTATTTGTGGAGTTGCGTCATCTTTAGTTTAGATGTGATATCCGGCAACCGATCAAAAGAGCGGCAGTTTGCTTTTTCCTTCTTTAAAGGCTATAAGACAAGGTCAGTGAAAGGGAAAAATATGGAATATTTGCGTACTATCTCCCTTGTTAAGTCGTATGACACAGTGGGTTATAGTGATGTTAGGCGTAGAATGGGTGGGGAATTACTTAAGGAGGATAAACCAATCGATCAAGCTTTATAACTCCAATGATTGAGATGGCTAGGATGCGTCATGCGCATGCTGAGCCTTCCTCGAAGGGTAATGTTAACTGATAAAGGTTTAGGTTGGAAAAGAGTAAGTGACTGCAAAACCCAAACCCTGCAACAACATGTGAAATGTTCAACGGTTAGTTCGAGCCAGTCACGTATGGAGGTGTAAACTGCTTGGTTTACTTCCTGGGGATCCTTAGAATTAATGGGTGAAGAGTATTGATGATATGGCTCAAAATCGTTCCCAAAAAGGGCTCAGATGCATTTGTCTTTTGTGACCTCCCATATCCATTCAAGTAGGAGACACTACGTGACATATCTGAGTAAACCTATGTGGAAGAACAATGGAGCCAAATCTCTGAAGGTGCTTTTCAGGGAAACGTGAACAACTGCTCTAGGAAAAAACAAGAGACAAGACAAGGAGTAAGTCTCAACGAACACCTACCTGGAAGCTAATAGAAGAGACGAGGATTTTGAAAGAGATGACTCAATGCAAATATGGGCAACAGGAAGAGAAGCTGAGTTCAGTGTACACTGCATTGAATAAAGAAGAGAAGAAGAGCACTAGGAGAGACAAAAGAAAACTCTACGAAACACCGGCTGATGACTGAAGCAGAACAGTCAGGCTGTGGGTAAAAGAGACCTGTGAACAATAAGTCAGATACCTAGGTTTCTGTCTGGGAAGAGATCAAGTCAGATGTTGAAACCAATAAAAGGTGTTCAAGGGTACCCGATTGCCAAGGAGGAGAAACAAGTAAAACAGTGGTCTGATCACTTCAAAGGACTCTTGAATCGAACATCCCCTGCAACTCGCCCAGAAATACATCACCACTAACAACAGGCACAGAACTTACCTCAAGTGGATACCAATCAACCAATGAAAGAAGAAATTTTGAATGCAATCAAGCTACTGATGGCTAGGAAGGTAGTAGGACCAGACGGAATTCCTCCCGAAGCACTGAAAACGGACTCAGAGACTGCGGCAGATTTGCTGATGCCATTGCTGCACAGGGTTTAGGAAGAAGGAAAGGTACCTACCCATTGGAAGAAAGGCTACTTCTTTAAGCTGCCAAAGAAGGGCGACTCATGCCTCACTGAGCAAGAACTGACTGGCGTGGAATAATGCTCTTTTCCACGCCCTCCTGGAGAGAATAAAGGATGGAAGGGATACAGAACTTCGCTAGCAAGGAACAAGCCGGATTAAGGAAAGGAAAATCATGTGCTGATCAAACTGCAACTCTAAGCCTCATCATCAAACAAAGCATAGAATGACAGTCGAACCTGTATCATAATTTCATCGAATTTGAAAAGGCCATCGATAGACAGCGTTGACCGAGACGTAATATGGAAACTGCTTAAACAACATGGCATGCAGTACCCGAGTCTTCATCAGCCTCATTCAGCAGATGGCTATATGACAGTGTCACGCGTAAGGTGATCCACAACAGAAAACTCAGAGAGGCATTGAAAGTGCATACAGGAGTAAGACAAGCTGACTGTCTATTATCACTGACGGCATTCCTAATTGTGGGAATAATAATGATAATATCCATTCAACCCTAATATTCTCTCATGTTGCCATTGCTTCTTCCTCACATTTCTGTGGATTATAGCACTTTTGAATCCCTTTATTTCTCACTTCTGTCCACCATTGTGTGCTGCGTTGATTGGGTGTGGTTGAACAGTTGGATTTCAGTACAAAATCTATGTCAAAACTCGGTCAGTCAGTCAGTTAGTTAGTCATCTAGAGAATGATAACATTGTTCAAAAGATTAAATCTATTAGTGTCATTACTCATGTAAGTAAAAGGTACACTATGTTATTCCTGTATGCATATAATTCCTGAGGTGGTCGAATTATAAAGATATTACTAGATGCATTTATAAGAACAAAAACTACATATCTGTCATTAGAATTAATAAGTGGAAACAGTGCCTATTAAGAATAGAACTTTGACAGTGTGGTAAAGCATATAATTTGACAACGATGACAATTTAAGTTCAGCTTAACTAATTCATAAGCATATAAAATTAAATTGATTATGTCAAAATACGTCAACCCTGACATGGAATAACCAAGAAGTGTTGAATACAATGGGTCTACAGAAACAGCCATTCACTAGTTACCAAACTAATTTCACTCATGGATAATATATCTCATTTTCAGTATAAGTTATAAATCATATTTCCTGTTATAAGGCGTCCGTTTGGTAAAATAAAAGGGGCGAAAAAAATCACAGTACGTTTTGGGAGGAATAGACATTAGTCTTATAATTTTCATGACTTCTTCTACCATCATTCTGGGTCACAACGCTGACATAATACCGAGTCTTCTGAACACCTTGAGCTGCCATCTGCGAATGTTTGGCATGCGATTTGCTCCCTCCTGTAGCATCTAGACCACAGTTAGTCAATTTTGGTTGCTACATTACTGAAGCTCTAGTCATTCATATAGGAGTCAGAGCTCTGTATGCCAAAGGGAATAATTGATCTACTTCTACTGTCATGGTAACAATCCTGTTGTTTTCTCTCAACTTGATTTTTATTTGTTTTTTAACTTTTGTAAATGTTACATAATTTCACGTCTTTCTTCCTTTCTATGTGCATTTTGATTACGACTCATTCATGAAATTATTTATCCCATTACGTACCTCAAACATACTTATTCAATTTCTTTTATATATCTCTTATTATTACCAACTATAAATTACGAAAACTCATCATAACAACTCATCAGCAGCAGCAGCACCAATCACCATCAACGGTAGAAATTTCACAGAGGTTACCTCCTCCACTTATCTGGGAAGCATCCTTTCAACTACAGGCGGAACCAACGAAGATATCAAAGTCAGAATCGGAAAGGCAACATACAACTCCATCAACCTGAAACCAGTTTGGAAATATTCCACACTCAGCATAAGGAACAGTATTCACATTTTCAACACCGACATGAAGTCGGTTCTTCCATACAGGTCAGAAACTTGACCAGCGTGTCACGAAAAGGATTTTCAACAGCCTGTTTCAGACTTTTATCAACAACTGCCTTCAATGGCTTCATTCTGAAGATGACATGGCTGGAGAGAAAGAATAAGCAACAAGAAACTAAGAGAACAAATGAACAAGCGAGAGCTGATTGCTCAACAAATATGTAGGAGAAAGTGGAGATAGATCGCGCACACATTGAAGAGGCCACTTTATGACATCACGTGCCAGGCGATGCCTCGAGTGCAATCCCCTTGAGAAGCAACGAGTGGGTTGTTGGCGTGAGAGTGACATGGAGGAGATCGTTTGGAGAGGAAGAGATGAGAAATTAGAGGCAATCATGGACCTAGCCAGCTGAAGGGGATTTCAGAGAATAGAAGGAAGTGGTGGTGTGTTGTTGAAGCCCTACGTGTTCCACTTGAAACCCAAGAGAATAATATTAATAATATAAATTTTGTGACTATCCCCTGTGATGAAACAGTTGCGTGTAGATACAATTAAACTCTTAAAGAAAAATGAATCCACTGAAAACAGCCCTTCTGCTGAACAGCTTATCTTGCTATTTTCATAAATAGAAACTTCCATCATAGCACCTTCATTTCTTTGTGTTCGAAGTGGAACAATGGACTTCTAGTTTTGAAGTTTCGGAAGCAGTGATGTTGCTTTACAAAGAAGGTTTGCTGGTCTGAGGCTGGAACTGGGTTACTTGTCGGGATTACTGTTGACTAATGGAGGAATTGGCGTTGGCGCATTTAGCCGGAATTAAACTTCCATCATATATGTGATTGACAAACGTCTTACATGGCTTATCATTTATTTATTATTCGCTTGGGTTCCACGTGGAACACAGGACTTCAGTGGTCTATCTACATTGTATGCTTTTACCTGTACTTCTCTCCTGCCGGCTCCATGACTGCATACAAACTGTCGGTTTCTAGTCATACGACCTCCTGCATATCATCTTTAGACTCCCAACTATTTGTTTCTTATTTTGGTTACACTTGAGAACCTGGTAAGATACATCACTCAGCGGTCTTCCCAGTGTATGTTTAGCTTGTTTCCAGTTTCTTCTGCATGTTACTTTGCAAAAATTAGATTATAAATGGAAACGTTTGTAAACAAGAATCAAAAAACATCTGACATTTTTATTATTTAACTTCAAAAGACTTACGTGGATGATGTAATTTTGATGTTTGGATAAAGTGACATGTCGATTGGCTTGTTATCTTTAAACCATTTAATTTGTGGATTTGTTTCACCTTGAACTTTACATTTAAGAGTTAACCGACGACCTTCGTGAATCTCCATAACAGCATGAGTTGTTTGAGTGTTGTTGTCTGTTTGTTTTTTTATTCTGATATCTACAGGTTGAATTACAATCCAATGAAGGTTATCTGCTATTCACAATTGGATTTTGTGAGATTCCTGGATGATAATAATAAACGAAATGTGGATATGCGTAACTCTGGAATGCCTTTTAGGCGTAATTATGCATTACATAACAGTAAAGAAGGAAAAATTCTTTGAGAAACCTCAAAATTGAACAAGTGATTATATGTAACACATCAGGTTTTGAAAAAAACAATGAGACCGAGAACCACACATTCACGCGAATTATTCGTTAAGTTTTAATTATTCAAAGGAGTGATAATAATTATACGAACGTCTTTTTAATGCACATTTTTGGCCTAATAGCTCGAATATTCATCACCTCAGCTATGCAGAGTAGACGGATACGAAGTCCACTGGAAGGATAAGGTGGGATGCAACGAATTCCCTTGAAAGATTTCATTTTTCAACTAAGTGACAACTGTTTCACCATGATATCAACTGATGTCAATCCATGATCAACTCGTAAAAACAAATCTTATCCTTACAAACGAACTAATGAAAATTAATCTGATGCTCGCTGGTGACTTGTTACAGGACGGAGTTTCTTGAAGTTCTAGTGAGAAGTCGTGACCACTGAGGTCAATTCAGTCAGGTGTAGGGATAGATGTCCCACCGAAGACATTGGTTAGTGCCAGTTGCGTTAAATCATGAATTGGGAGAAGTTAGAATTCATAGGACGGCCGGTGAATCGGCTTCCAGTGGCTGGATGGTGTACGAGCTTGCTTGTAAGCAGAAGGTCCTGTGTTCGAACCTCAGTGTGTGTGTATTGCCAATTGTTACAAACTAGGATGAAACGGCTGTTCAGTACCACAAGCTGGTTTTCAATGGTTCTCCATCTGACATCAATCCATGATCATCTTGTAAAAACAAATCTGATCCTTACAAACCAGCTTTTGAAAAAGCGGACTACTACAAACTAAAAATGTAACAAAATGGACCTTTGGGTATTTTTCGTCTCTCTTTTAACAAATCGCGATGGAAGAGGTTCAGTAACATATTGGCTAAGCTGTCTATTAGTACATCCAACATAGTCATCTCCTGAGAAGTAGTTGAATTCATAAATACACACAGATGTGGCAAAACTATCTGGCCTAAGCTTTATTTGAGTCTCAATCAAACACTGACTAGAAAATGACAAACATAGGTTTGTTGGGCGAAATGTTGCCCGTATACTTCTGCAGAGTTTTGTGGAACGAAATCCCACTAGACATGTCCACTCTAAGCTGTAACTCAATAGATAATGGTTTCTTCTAAGGTATGAAGACCACAGATATTCTAATTCTTTCCTTAGGAAGTATTCCATACATAACGTTTTCACTCTGCCCGTAAGGCCGTTTACAATATTTCTGTTATTTTCAATGGGCACATAACTAGAGAAGTGTGTGTATTGTCTTGTGGATTTGCTTTTTCTGCCTAAACACGCTTCTTCAAAGTGACTCATCTTCCATGCGGAAAACACAGTGTATTGTTCTACTCTTCTTCACAAGTGAAAGCTGTCAGCGGGTTGACGTCATTAAATTTCATGGACAATTCATTTATGCCTACATTCTTACCAACCAACATAAAGTTTTCATGGACATAACAGTAGTATGTATCGAACTCATTGACGACATATATCTACCTTCCTTTTTCAAGTTTTGCAAGGAAGAATTCTGCTAAAATCAGGCCTTATGATAGAAACATAGCAGCTCCACCCACCTACCCAAATATCCATCAACCTCATTCAACAGCTGTACGACAACGGCACATGTCAAGTGATCCACAACGAAAAACTCAGCGAGGCGTTTGCAGTAAACACAGGAGTCAGACAAGGGTGCTTATTATCACCAATGATATTCCTAATTGTGGTGGACTGGATTATGCGTCAGACAGTGGGAAACGAGAAGACAGGGATATCCTGGACTACCGACGTGAAGAACCTAGAAGACCTGGATTTCGCGCGTGGATGATTTATGTTTGATGTCACACAAAATCGAAGAATTACAAGCGAAAACCGACAAACTGGTCGAAGAAGCAGTCGGTGAAGACAGGACTCCAGGTGAACATAGACAAGACGGAGGTAATTGAAATAACCAACCGACAACAACAACAACACCTGCAACATCCAGCGCCAATCACCATCAACGGGAGGGATTTGAAAGAGGTTACTTCATTCACTTATCTAGGTAGGGAGCATTGTCTCAACTACAGGAAGAACAGACGAGGATGTCAAATCGAGAATCGGGAAGGCGAGAAACACATTCATTAACCTGAAACCAATCTGGAAATCTTCGTCACTCGGATTTTCAATACAAACTTTAAGTCAGTCAGTTCTTCTATACGTATGGATCAGAAACTTGGCGGGTCACAAAGAATTTTTCCAACAGCCTGTTGCAGACCCTTGTCAACAACTGTCTTCGCTCTGTACTACTGAAGATCAGATGGCCGCCGGAAAGAATCACCAACAAGAAACTATGGGAACAAACAAAACAAGAACCAATCGCCCAACAAATATGCAGGAGAAAGAAGTGGAGATGGATTGGACACTCGCTGAGGAGGCCGTTGGGTGACATCGCGCGTCAGGCCTTTGAGTTGAACTCGAAAGCGAAGCGGCGAGTGAGACGTTCAAGGGTGACATGGAGGAGATCGTGTGAAGAGGAGTTGAAACAGTATGGACTAACATGGATGCAGGTGAAAAGTACAGCAGAAGACAGAAGCAAGTGGAGATGTGCAGTTGAACTCCTATGTTCCACCAAGAACACAAGGGAATAATAATAATAATATAAATCCCATATTATTTTGTTTTTTTTAACTGGCCATCCATTTGACAAGTAAATGGTAACGTGATCAGATTGTTCTTAATGTATTCTACAAAAATACATCACATCTGCATTCAGACTGAGTCCGATTTCTAACAGTTGTAATTCATTTCTTGTTATCTGCCTTAAATCTTGTGTTCGTAATATAAATTTGGACAATTTAAAATATTATTGTCAAATGCAAATAGTGAGATTTAGTTCAATAGTAAAAACAACCTAAAATGAGTCTTTTTCACATCTAGACATCAGTATGCATAGTTGGGCAATATTAGATGGTTGGAGGCAGCCGACAGGAAGCCTTCCACTTGGGTTTCGTGCTAGTTGGCACTCACTAGTGAGCAGAGCCAATCTGCAACCATGAAAGAACTCAGGTCACTGTCTAAGTTTCGAATCTGCTTGCCTCAGTGCTGCGGTCAGAGGCGTTACCACTGAGATATTTGGCTAGTGTCCAATCAAAGTATCCAATGCAGTCCTAGAAGAGGTCAATCGTGGGTCTGAATAGCTCAGTGTTTACGTCTCTGACTGAAGCACTGGGTGACGTGGATTTGAATCTCAGATGGAGGACATGAGTTCCTTCAAGGCTGCAGGTACTCGTTGCTGACTAGTGAATGCCAGCTATCACGAAACCTCGATTCAAGGCTTCCTGCAGATTGCCTCGAGCCATCTAATATCAACAATTCACAGCAAGGTGCATCGTGATGGCGAGTCACCTAACATGGTGACCACATCGCAAACCTGACTGATAAAATTCAGTCTGCACCAAACAAAGGAATAGATACATAACACTAGTCACCGATTAGTGTCCAGCCACAGTGGGACAATATCGGCAAACTTCATGACCCACATAATCCTCAGAGTGTCAACCGTATGTTAAACCCTGTTGTTATTTCAATCATAAAAGCAGAATAATAGTTATTTCGCATAATAATGAATATGAAGTATGATTAGAGTTTAGAGTGACAGAAAGTTCGATATAGATGACGAACTGGGTATGATAGAAACCTGAAATAATTGAAGAAGCGTTAAGGATGTACCTAGAACCGAGAATACGACGTGATGGAGCACTGGAAAATGTTGTAGAAGTGAGTAATGTTCATTGGTAATGAAAATAATAGTCATTTATCTTTTGGATTAATAACATTTACCCTTAGTTGATGATGTCCAACTGACGAGTCCCAGTATGGACGAAATGAGCGCTCTGGATTTCATTCCTAGTGAAACTGAATTCATCCAAAACAAAGAATAACTGACTCCGATTCCCCTGGTGGTGGCTATAATGGCCCAAATAGTCTAGTATATAATCCTTGGGAGTTTGAAAAGATAGGGGGAGGGTTCACTTCCCAACAGGAATGTCATTACTCACTAGAGATGCAGGTATATCCAGATGATGAGTCTTAAAAATGAGGTGAAACGCACATGACTTTGATTTAACTGCAATTCACTATCAAGCAAAATAATAATCATAACCATTTTATCTCACATTATTGAAATGTTTAAATTGCCACAAATCGACTACTTTTACTCTTTTCTCATCAATCTGAAACTTTTTCAGACTAGTTCAGACAGGGAGAGATAGAAGGAGTCATTCGATAAATATTCGTATATTTTTTTCCTTGCTCTTTATCAACAAGTGCGATAGAATGTTCAAAAACCACCCACGTGATCTGGGAGAAATTCTTAGCCTAAGCAAGTAATATTGAATGTGAGGGTTGCAACCTCAAGTTACGTTATCACAACTTAGTCGTTAAAGCTCACTCTTGAAGGTCTGTATTTTATTTAAAACATACAAAAAATTAAAGAAAAATTAAAGCAAAAAAATGTGCAGCTGCTAATCGACCACATCTTTGATCGATTGAAACAAAAGCAAAATGGAGTAATTTGAAGCCATATGAGTTGAATGAAAGGAGGCATTCTAGTAAACCAAAACTCAGCGAGGCGTTCGAATTGAACACAGGGGTAGAACAAAGTTGTCTGCTCACTATCACCTATGATGTTCTTAATTCTTTTGGGCTGAATTATGTGTCAGCCTTAGGGGAATGAGGAGACTGGAATACGTTGGACCAACGATGAGTAGAATCTAGAAGATCTGGATTTCGGAGATGATATATGTTTAGTGTC